CAGAATAATAACAGACACAGAAGAGAAAAGAAAAAAAAGAAGAAGAAAAAAACCCTTGATGCAGAGGGAAGAGAAGAGATGTGGGTAAGGCGGGGTGGGGGAGGGATCGACTGTCGCGAGGAGGGCCGCTTTTCTATATATAAGATCGCGGGCCGCAGTCGACGAAAGAGAATCCAGAGGCAAACTTTTCACAGGAACCTTTTTCAAACACAGTTTCTGCGAATGAACAACATACAGTGACTCTATCTAGTTGGTATGTCACCGATCTTCTGAGTGGAGGGAGGAGAGAAATTGTATCGCTCTTCGCTTGCGTGAGGAATTATTATTATTACTATTATTATCAGTGGTGGCAGGAGAATTCGTCAGTGGTTTATTATTTTTTTTCAAGCTGAAGTTGACCTACGTTACACGGGTATTACACGTACAGTTGAAACTGACAGTTTGTGGACTAGTATCTCGTTCTAGCGGCCTTCAAGTTCATTGTAACAGTAAAATAAGAAAATCAGCTGAAATTAAAACTTCAGTCATTCCTTCCTCCGTCCGTTTTAACACCGCGAGAATCATGCACAGCCTGTAGCCTGATTTGTTTTTCTTTTTTTGGTTTTGGTTTTTGTTTTATTTGCTGCAGCCGGGCAGTCTGCCGCCTCCAGGCAATAAATTCTCTTTTCCAAACTCACCGGAAACGAAAACTATGTCCCATCGTAAAGGCAATATCAGATTCGGAATCAGTGTATCAAAAACGTAACTGTGCCACCCGAGTGAATATCTTCACTGCTGTACTTTAAAGAACATACACATAAGTATTTTTACTGTTCCATGATTGCATCACGAGTGTTAGATCTATGTTATTGCTTAGACAGTGTCGCCTTTGGTGTCATTTCGGTTTTATCTTGTTAATTGTAGTGTGTAGAGTAGAGCCAGTCACACGATCGGCCACAGGATGGCTGGAAGTCAACATAACGTGTCCGTTTTAACTGTACGTGTAATACCCCCTTTAGGAGTAACGATCCCAGGTACTGTTAGTCATAGTGTGAATACCCATTAAATTGGTTGTGACTGAAAGTAAAATTTCTCCCTCCCTCCCGGTAAACACGTCCATCTGATATACCGTAGGCTACTTGATGAGGCCAGAGATAATCTCGTGAGGAGATTCCTACCTAGCTATAGCTACCCCAACATTGGGGGGACTGACTGGTTAGCCTAGGTGTGCGGGCAGTGTTGATCGCTGTACGTTTTCTCTTTTTTTGTTCATCGTATCCTTGTTGTAGCTGTGACTTCAGGAATGCAGCGGCGTATTTGATCTTGGGTCACGTTGAGCCGGGAAGTCGTTAAGGTTTCTAAATATTAGATCTATATTTAGATTCTAGCTGTCATTGATAAAAACTTATTGCGCTTTCTTATACGCAACGGTATCTCTTAGAAAAATGTGGAAATAGTTTTTGATGCTTAAAAAAACACCTTGGTTTTTTGTTGTTGTGGTTTTGAACAGCTCGTTGATACTTCATTCCCTAAAGTTAATGCACCGTCGTGTTGTTAATGTTGAGATTATCTAGTGAGATTGACTCTATCTCAGGTGTGGGTGGTTGACGGGTGCTCTGGTGTGGTTTATTGCATGCTCCTTCTTTCCTATCGAACATAATTGGTCGTCCCTACCTCTTCTCTTTCCTTTCCTTTAGTAGTAGTATAGGGTTTTACGGCGCTCGCAACTGCGTAGGTCATATGAGCGCTTTCCTTTCCTTTATGTTACTCTCTTGTAACAATTCCAATCTTTGACACTTTTTGACCTATTTGTGTTGCATTGTCGTAAAACTCTTACTTAAACGAATACTAAACTAGAGCTCTCTGATATGCCGCAGCTCAGCTAGATTCTAATTTCCTAACGCACAGTCGGGCACCCCCTAAAAAACCCAAACGAAATAAACACACGCTGCAAAAGCAAAAAATATCCAACCAAAATAACAAAACAAACATAGGAAACCC